CTGGGACTTCTGGATAGGGATGCTCTAATTCTCCCAGCAGGAAACAGGCTTGCTCACTGGCAGGTTTGACAACTTGATTGGCACTGGAGGAAGTCCTTTGAGATGGCTTCCTGGAATCTCTGGTGCCCTAGCCACAGCCCACTTAATAGCAGTCGCCTTTCACCCCACCGAGTGCCATCTGACTTTGATCTTGGTGCGGGTAAACCTCATCTACAAAGCTGGGCATGTGTGTGCCCAAGTGAGTCAGAACTGGGTGGGTGGTAGTGTGTAGCAGCTCCCCCTGGTGACTCCACTGTGATGGGATAGTGACAAGTCAGGACATGGTTATTGCAGGGACTCTGCTGGCCTCTGGCTTGATCTAAATCTCAGTTCTGACACTTGCTAGCAAATGGCCTTGGGCTGGTGGCCTCAAACCTGGGAGACTCAGAAAACCCATCTGGGAATTGGGGACAAAATACTAATTCACCAGAATAGCATGAGGGTGATGAAGGATGATAAGTCACAGTGTGGGTGGGTGCAAGCAGCATTGCAGGGACTTGGTATCGGTCAGCAGGTCCCCAACAAGCCCTCTGATAACCCATCCTCTGGTTCCTCTTTAGAAGACAGTTCATCCAGCTTCTGCTTAACCCTTCCCCTCTGGAGTAGGTGCATGCCCTTTATCATCTGGGCAGCTCCCATACTGGGCTACCCTGTGGCTAGGTGATTGGGACAGACTGTAAACACTGGAATGGGATCCCTAGGTTCTCCCATCTGCTGAGCCAAGTAAACTTGGCCTTCCCTAGGGAAAAACCTCAGTTAATATCTATGCCAATCCATCTAAAAGGTGAGCCACAGTGACCCCAGATCTGTTTCCCTACAGCTCAAAGCCCTCCCTTAGGTCTGGATATAACTTTCCTCCTAAACCATTTGATAACCAATGCCACACATACTTGTGACACATTATCATGTGCCAGGAGCCTGCCTGATGCTTAGCAGTGTTATGTCCTGAGGGTTGACAGGCAGTGGGTAAACAGATCCTGCATCCCTTGCTGTACAGAAAAACTGAGCCATGGTCACCAAAGCTTGGCTCACCCCCTGGGTTTTATGGTAAGGCCCCAGTGGGGAAGCACTGGTGTTCTAAGGATGCAAATGTAAACCTGCGGCCTAGAGCAAGCCTGGGGGTTCCCACTGAACACCCACGGACCTGAGCTGTTGCTCTCCCATCTGGGAGATCAAGGGGCTGGTTTTGCTGTTCTTGGACTAGGAGAGTTCATCCAGCCTGCAGCAGGGGCTGAGAGCAGCTGAGGAGTACTCCCAGCAGGAAGGACCACCCCCAATACACACACACACACCACACGCGCACACACACACACACACACACGCACACGCACACACACACACACACACACACACACCAGACCCTGACAGCCTGGACTGGGGGTGAGCCCAAGGGCAGAGCTCAGGTCCCTGGGTTTCACGAGTCAGAAGAGAAGGCAGCTTGGCCACAGGCCCACAACAGCCTCCCACACACCACTCTCAGAGCGTGTCCAGTTTAGCGATCTACCTACCCAAGTTCCCCCTTGCAATTCTCTCCAAACCTGCCTTGCTGTGCGACCTTGGGCAGGTTACTTAACCTGTCAGAGCTTCTGGCTTTCTGTCTCAAAAGAGGTTGCTCAGATCTTTCAGGGATAGAAGAGAAAGTCTGTGTCACCCTGCTTGCCTGGTGGACCTAGGAAACCCAAGTCCTCGCGGCATCCCTGTGCTACCCTTTCATGTCAATTAGCCCATTTCTGCGCAGGTGGTTTTGGTCCAGGGCGGCTACCTCCAACTCGCCCACCCCCACGCCACTGGCTTTATCCGAGGTTCTTATTCTAGAGAACAAAGAGGAGAGGGTAGGGAAGGCAGAGAGCTTTCTAAACCATCTTCAGACCTGCTGTAGGCAAAAAGGAAATGAGCCCTGGGATGGGAGATGGCTCAAAGGTGACACAACGGGGAGGACTGTCAACAATCCTCCTGGGCCAAATTCCTCCGCCTCAGCATCACGCTGGAAGGAAGGCTGGAAGGGAACAAGCTGCCTCCCCTGCTCTCAGTGGTCCTCAGGACACAGGGCAGACTGAGGCTATCAGCAAGATGGGGAGAGAGCAGGAGGGAGATGGGTGGCGACGGGCGGGCACCAATGAGGAGGCAAAGAAAAACAGCCCTGTCAAATGCAGAAAGGCCCCAGCACGCTTGCTTCCCCAGCCTGGCCCATGAATCCAGGGGTGACAGGTCTCTCATCTCCGATGCCAAGAGCCAGGAGCTGCGGGCAGCAGGCAGGTACTACGCCTGCACCTGCCAGTGCTTGAGTACGGCAGTAAAGCATCATAGCAGGACCTGGAACGCTAAGTGCCTGCAGCTGGGAAGGATGGGGAGCACCACAGCCCTTCTCTGGCAAACGGGCCTGAGGATGGACGGGGGAGGCGGGGGCAGGTGCACACACAGCCTAGCCCTGCCCCGGGGAGACAGACAGATGGACAGACAGGCGGAGAGGTTCTGGAGAAAGCCCAGTGAGCTGTTTCAGTCACCGAGGCCTGCAGAAAGCTGAATGGCTTGTGTCACTAGCTCATAAAAGAATGAGGCCAGTCAAAAATGATGCAAGACGCTGTTTACACAATACTTGGGATGGTGGTGCCAGACCTTATCCCGTGACTGTGATAATGGGCCTTGTTGCCTCAGCTGCCCTAGGAGGGCAGTGTGACCAGTTTATACATAAGGAACACAGACAGTGCGCAGGATCCAGAGCCAAAAGAGGCCACATCCTGGGGAAGCTTCCTAAAGTTCACCTTCCCATCAGCCACCTGTGTGAATACGTAGGCCCTGACTCCAGGACCTGGGTGGAATGGGCCTCTCACCAACAAGTTCTCAGGCTGCTCCTGGTCCCACAGTCCTATGTGGGGGCAGTAGGACTCTAAGTCACCATGGTCTGCCCCCAGGGGCTCTTTGGGTACACATATGCAGTGACAGCCCCTGCTCCAGACCCTGGAGCCACCCATGAATCTGTAGGCATGCAGAAACAGCCCCCTCCCATGCATCAGAACCATGGAGGTGAGGTGAGCGGTCTGCAGCAGTCAGTGTCATACGTCCCTTCTGAACCTTCAGCTGGGGGTCATGGGTAGTTCTGGAAGTGGCTGCCAGTGATTCGTTCAGACATATGTGAACTGGAGCCCCAGAGGGATGCTCCCAGATATCTCATTCATTGTGCGACTTTCAGCACACAAAACTAAGGCATGTTCTGGAGGGCTGGTCAAGGACTCAAAGAAAGAGAAGTGAGCCATCTCGGGGGCCACTGGAGGGGTCAGCTGGGGTCTGCTAGCACACTCCTTCCTGTCCCTGAGGGACCCACGGAGGCAGGGCACAGGGCTCAGCAGTGTCTGCCTCCTGTGTTGAGATGCCTAAGAGCTATCAGGTGGAAAGGGCAAGACCTCCCAGGCCCCAAGCCACTGCAGAACCACTCCTGACGGACTCCTTTGCCAGGTGCAGCCAGGCTCCTCTGAGCCCTCCTCCCTTACTTGGCATTGACCTTGGATGGTACAACTCTGCTTAGGGGATAACATAATCGTGGCCATTATGGAAGGAAGGTTGCTATAGTGACCTCCAGACGATCCGGATCCTCAAATCAGAAAAGTAAGACAAAGGACTCTGAAAACCAGTGCCTCCTTCCTGGGGCAGGTCCTGCTCACCCTTCAAGTCCCTCTGCTCCAAGCCACAGTGTCTTGAGGGTGTCCCCAAGACTTTATTCCCCTTAGGATATAGGCGGCATATGGTCCGAGTGTCCCCCAAACTTTGCTATGCAGAAATACATTCCTCACCAGAGGGTATAAGAGTACGGAAACTGAATCCAACTAGGGGGTTTAGAGGGGACCATGGCTAGTCATGGGATGGAGCCACAGTTGCACCTGGTGGCTTTGTGAGAAGAGGGAGAGGGACCAGGCTCACATACATACACACTCATCCTCCCTATTACAAGATGTCTTGTGCCGCCTGAAAAGAAGCCCCTAACAAGAAAACTACCACCAGACACAGCTTCTTGACAGAGGGCTATCTATAACCAGGAGCCAATGCTGTCTTCTTTTCTTCAGAAAGGTCATCACTCAACCTGACTTGTGGGACTTTGTTCCCAGTCATGGTTGAATAGACTGGTACACTCTGTCTCTCCTAGCCATAGGGCCTCTGGTTTACAAGGGTGTTGCAAAACTATGCTTAATGACTATATTTGACCCCCCCTCTCTCTGTGCGTGTGTGTGTGTGTGTGTGTGTGTGTGTGTGTGTGTGTGTGTGTGTGTGTGTGTGTGTGTGTGTGTAGGACATTGGAGTGAAGCCTTGGTTTTAAACTTGAGGACACACAAAAAAGACTACATTTCCCAGCCTTCTCTGTAGCTGACAGAGTCATGTGATTGAGTTTGGCCTGATACAATGTAAAGAAGAGGAAGATACAACTTCTAGGAAACGTGGAACCGCTCTTACAAGCGACAGGCTTTCTATACATGCTGTGATGGCTGGAGCTTATACAGCCATCTTGGACTATGAGGTGAGACCTCCATGGGTCAAGCAATCCACCTGCCCAACGTTGACTGTGACAGAAAAATGGCCTTCCCTCGTTTTAGCAACTGCTTCTTGGAATTTTCTGTAACCCACCGCTGACTTGATGCTGTAAGAGTCATACCTTCAATTCCTGGAGGCAAAGATTCTATATTCTTAAGGCACCGTTACACACTGTATGGAGCCATCCTGCCCATCCATCCTCCCACAACCTGAAGTGTGGCCTGAGTCTGCCCATCTCCATCCTTCAGCCTCAGGAGGTAGAGATCAGGCCTGGGTAGCACACGGTGCAGGGCCTAGGGCGCAGTGGATTCTTTCTACAGCGCCCACACAGCCTCTGCATCAGCACCATATTCTCAGCATGTGAAGGCCCTCCTCCAGTTCCCCTAAGGATGGCCTGGCTCCAGATAACCTGCTCCCCTTGTGAAGGAAACAGTCCTTACCAGGATGTCTGTGTCCTCAGAGTCCTTCCCTGACGCTGGGCTGGAGCAGTTGCGGAGTTTAAATGCCCAGTACTCCTTGGCAGTGACAAAAAAGTTCCAGGGCAGTAGGCCCCCAATTCCCAGGCTGAAGAAGATGATGTAGGTGCCATTGAAGCGGTCCTCTGGCCTCTGCAGGCCGGGGGCTGGGTAGTCGAGTAGTCTTCCCAGCAGAGCTTCCTGGTCAGCTTTGTGAGGCTTGTTCAAGGCTCTGTAGGTAGCATTTGAGCTCTGGTATACATTGTCCTCAGAGTCATCAGCCACTGTGGGAGCAGAGAGAGACACAGACAGAGCAGGTGAGCAGACATCATGTGGCTGGGGACTGACTTATTCTAGAAGACATCTCTAGCCCATGTTGGGTCTACCCTGTGGTCCTAGATGTCTGACTGGAGAGCTTCAGGTTTTAGGATGAGGATGAGAGAGGTCACCTCAACTCTGCAAGGACGACACAGGCAATGCCCAAGTATGGGACAAGTGGTATGAACATCCTTGCAGGCACACATGAGGCCAGCAGGGCAGGAGGGCGAGCCTGGGCTAAAGGCATTCACATAGGAGTCAGAACCCTTGGTGGGCAAAGAATGAGCCCCCAGCTCTTCTATTTTACACGAAAAGTGTAAGCAGGGGGAAACACATGCATGCACACACACACACACACACACACGCGCACATGCACGCATGCACACACGAGCATACTTTTGTACATGTGCTCAACATACACAGGGGTCTTCCAACAGTGGGGTCTTTGGAGGAGACTGTGACAGGGAGGGAGCTTCTCTGTTAATTCTTATTTTTTTGTGCCTTTTGAATTTGAGCAATGTGTATTAGCTGTTCAATCATCAACCTGGGCCAGGAAGAGTGGCACACACATGCCTATAACTCAGTAGGACCCTGGAGGTGGAGACAGGAAGATCAGGATTGAAGGTGAGCCTCTCCTACATAGAGGGTTCAAGAGCTAACCTGGACTAAGCGAGACCCTACCTCACAAAGAAACGACTTCGGTACTTCTGAATGCCGCAGTCACACCCAACACGTGAGCCATGACAGTCAGGTGTTAGGTACCATCCACGGATAAGACGCCTGAGGCGCAGAAAGATCCAGCCACTTGTCCAGGTCATGGTGGCATGAAATGATACATCCAGGCAGTATGGGTGCCCTCTGGGGATTCCCAAGCCCCACCCCCAGGGATGGTCTAGGAATGTGACTCTGCTGGTTCCAAGTCCCTATAGACCTCCCTCCTGAAGGCATCCTGCAGCAAGAAGCTATGAGCAGAGAAGGCCCAACGGGACTGTCATCGACACTACTGAATAAATGGACCTGCAGGGCCGGGACATCACCCCAGACTACTGCAGCTATGCCCTGGAGCAGACAGGCAGGCAGGAGGTTCTACAGTGTTCTGTCAGGGTGAGCAGGCCTCTCTATAGGCTTGAGTCATATGGAGACCAAAAATGGCCAGAAGAGTATGCATAGAGGTACAAACATTCACACAGACACAGACAGACACACACACACTCTCTCTTAAAATTATTGTTAAAAACATGTGAACAGGAGCTGGAGGGATATCTCATCAGTTAAGAACCCCTGCTGTTCTTCAAAGGACCTGAGTTCAGATCCCGGCACCCAAGGTGACTCAACTACTTGTAACTCCAGTTCCAGGGGATTCAGTGCCTTCTTATGGTTTTTCGGGCACCTGAAAGAACTCGCACATGCCCACACAAAGACACACGTATACATTTAATTTTTTTAATGTTAAAGATAGCCATGAACCGCCAGAGCACTGGCAGGGAGCCGTTCCCAGAAGTTCAATCTAGAAGGTTGGGTGCAGGGCCGGAGCCCCTGCTCAGCTGCGGTGTGTATTCATCAAGGGCCAGTCAGCCTTGACCAAGCATCTGAGCTGCCAGGGATCCTCTCTAGCCGGGTCACCGGCGGCGCAGCAGACTGAGCAAAACCTTATTACTCTTTATAAAAGGTAGCTGTGGCTTTGGATGAACAGAGAAAGACAAAGAAAGGAGGTCCAGCCAAGAGCTTCCCCCAGGCCAGGTTGCCTCTGCCCACGCCTGGAGTCCTGGGGTCAGAGCCAGTCGGAGCTGGAAAGGACAGGAGTCTGGGGACAGAGAAGGCGCCTGGCCAGCCTGTGTGCCCCCAGGACTTCCGAGGAAGCAGTCTGGGGACGAAGAGCGAGCCTGACAGCAGGCTGGGACAAGTTCTCTCCACAGAGGCACCCAACCTGGCCCTCGCAAAGCCTTCTGGATCCTTCAGGCTGGTCCGTCCCCACACGCAGGACCAAAGAGTGAGGCGGGGAGGCCAGGTTCAGCCTCAGGAGGAGGAGACTCAGACAAACATGGGGGCCACTGTACCCGCACTTACTGTCGCTGTCGCTGCTACCTCCACCAGGTCCCGGCCCGGGCCACTGCAACTGGGGCTCAGCCAGGCAGGGCTTTGCCCTAGCCCTCCCAGCCGCCCTCCCCTCCTCAGCTCCCTCCGCTCCGCCCAGCGCTTCCGGGTTCGCTGACACCTCCCACCTGGCCCCTCTCAACACGCGCGCCCCCGCCTGGTGCACGGCTGCAACTGCAGGCGCCCATTCGCAAAGTGCAGAAAGAAAAGCTCTGGGCCAGCCCCGCCCTGCCCTGCCTGCCTCCCTGTTAGCATCTCCCTCGCCCCACGCCCAAGAGAGTCCCCCACTCCACCTCGTCCCCTGGAGTGCCCCACAACTCTCTGATCCCCACAAACACTTCCAGAGCGGGACGCAGCCCCGAGGATGAAATTGGCCTCCCAGCCTAGGTGGAAGAGACCCAGAGTTTGAAGCTATTTGGTAGCAGTGAGTGAGCGAGGCCAGCTCGTGCGCTCAGAGCAGGTGTGTGTGGAGGGGCAATCAGATGCCAAACCTGTAGAAGGAAACTTTTGGGAGACCTTGAGTTCATAGTTGAGGAAAAGAGGGAAAGATGGTTCCGGAGCTCTGAAAAGTTGGGCAGAGCAGGCCCCAAGGAGCAGACCTGCTTTGTTTCGCCTTTTGGAAGAAAAAGAAGGGGTGGGGGAGAATGGCCGAGGGAAACATCCAAGCGTGACAGATATCTGGTTTCTCTGTCCATACCCTTACCAGCTGGGTGACCTGAAGCAAGACTTCCGCCATCGCCCTGCAGGGGGCGTGGAGATGCTCACCACCTAACACTCAGCCCTTGGGAGGGGGCTGGAGTTCAGGCCCACCTCAGCTGCCTAGTGAGCTTGATATCAGCCTAGGCTACTTGAGACACACGTGCACACCTACATGCGCACATGCACACTCATATATACATGCAGGCATGTAAAGAATGCATGCATATATGCACACACATCACACACACATGCCTCACATGCACACATGCACACTCATATATACATGCACACATCACACACGCATGCTCACATGCACACATGCGCACACACACGCACGCTCACATATACACATGCACACATGGGTGAGGTTCAGAAATTAGCACATCTCAAAGACAGGCTTAAATAGCACCCTCAAGTGCAAGAGGAAGAAGTGGGTACTGGAACACGACCCTGTGGGAAAGCACAGACTAGCATGCTCCGGACCACCGTAGGCACACCCCCTACAGCACAAACCAGCATGCTCCGGACCACCGTAGGCACACCCCCTACAGGGCGCAGAGTGGGCAAGGGCACCTTAGGATCGGAAAAAGGCAGCAAATAAGGTAGCCTGTTCAGTTATCCTTATCTCCCTGTGTCGTTTACTGTAATAAATAAATTAAAAGAAAAAAAACTGAGTAAAGCCAACTTGGGGAGGAAGGGGTTAATTTCACCCTCGGGTTCCCCTGAGGGAAGTCGGAGCAGAAACTGAATGCAGGAAGCTAGAAGCAGGAACCAAAGCAGAACCCAGGAAGGAACTTCAGCTGATAGGACTTTCTCTCAGTGGCTTGCACAGTCTTTTGTGCGTGTGCTTGAGAGGGGGTTTCTCTGTGTAGCCTGGCTATCCTGGGACTCACTTTGTAGACCAGGCTGGCCTCGAACTCACAGGGATCTTCCTGTCTCTGTCTCCCGAGTGCTGTGTTAAAGTTGTGTGCCACCATTGCCAGGCTTCAGTCTTGTTTGTTATACAATTGAAGACCACCTGCCCAGGGTAGGCATGTGCACCCAGAGCGGATTGGACCCCCCCCACATCCATCATTAATCAAGAAAACGCCCCACAGGCCAATCTGTCGGTGGCTATTCCTCAACTGAAGTTATGTTTGGGACTGTGTGGAGTTGACAAAAGCAGCCAGCAGAGCAGAAATGGGGAGGGCTATGCTGTTTTGCTGCAGCTGCTGGCGAGGAAACACTAACCACAAAACTCAGCAGAACCCACGTGGAGCTTACTGGGGAAAGGGAGCAAAGGGAGGGGTAGGTGTTGGTCAACCGGGAACAGAGACGGAAGAGGAAGGGGAAGGAAGAGGAAAGGAGGAGGAAAAGGGGGAGGAGGAGGGGAAGGGGGCCAACAGATGGGAGGCGCTCGCTTAAAAGGGAACGCTTGCACATGCGCACAGAGTCCTTATGCAGCCACATCACGCATGACGTAGCCACACAACACAGGGCTCTTTGAGCTAAGTGCCTGAATGCTGGTGTGCATACTCTGCCAGTTGTCAGGGGGCGGGGTCAGCATAACTCGCGAATCCTTGTAGGCTAGCCTTTCACACAGAGAGAGGTCTTCGTTGTAGATGATGTAAAATCCCCTTACTAAGGGGCAGCTTTGCTTAGCAGGTGTCTTAGGGTCACTATTGCTGTGCTGAAACTCTATGACCAAAGCAACTTGGGGAGGAAAGGTTTATTTGCTCACACTCACTGTTCATCCCTGGAGGAAGTCAGGACAGGAACTCAAACAGGGCAGGAACCTGGAGGCAGGAGCTGCTGCTGAGACCAGAGACGGGTTGCTGCTTACAGGCTTGTCCCTCATGGCTGCTCAGTCTCCTGTCTTATAGAACTCAGGATCACGAGTCCAGCGATGGCTCCTCCCACAATGGGCTGCCACACCCCTACTTTTCCCGCCATCAATCACTATTTAAGAAAACACCTTAAGGCTGGACCTTCTGGAGGCTTTTCCGCCATTGAGGCTCCCTCCTTTCGGATAACTCTAGCTTGTGTCAAGTTGCCATAAGACAAGCCTGCCCGGTGGGATGAAGGAAAAGAAGGTTGTTTATCTTCATTTACTTTCTACTGCTATGATAGACACCACGACCAGAAGCATCTTGGGAAGCAGTGGGTTTTACCTGCGCCAGCCACGCACTGTGAAAGTTCAGGCGTTAGCCAGCCTGCTCCTGTCACCTGGCAGAATGCGCTCAGGCAGTGCTCTGGTCAGCCCAGGGTTCCTTGAGCACTAGTCTGTTCAGGTGTAAAGGACCCCTTTAAAAGACAGGCCCCTCCCCCAGCCCACTTACGCTCTCTGCTCTTCCCCTCCCCCACCCGGAATAAACTCTATGGTTAACGTATTTCGTATTTCGTGTTCCATCTCGCCGTGGCAAACTTAAGCGAAAGAACAACACACAGTCCACACGAAGGGAAAATCACAGAAACTCAAGAGGCAGGAAGGAAGGCAGGAGCCATGGAGAAAAGCTGCCTCCTGTTTTGCTCAGCTTGCTTTTACTTGAACCCAGCGTCACCAGCAGAGGCATAGCCCTGCCCCCAGCCGACCAATCACGGGTCAAGAAGGCGCCCCACAGACTTGCCTACAGGCCAATCTGATTTTCTTGGTCGAGGTTCCCTTTGCTCGGATGACTCTAGCTTGTGTCAGGTTAACACAAAACTCACCCACATAGGCAGCGTGTAAAGATTCCAGCCTATGAAAGTATCTGGGTCCTCTTCTTCCAAGACTGGAGGGCTACAGCTCTCCCTTTTCTGCCTCTACCAGATGTTTACTCTTCTGCTCCCTGTGATAAAATACTCTCGACTAAAGCACCATAAGGGAGAAAAGGTTTCTTTTAGCTCACAGTTCTTCCTGTTTGGCAGGGAAGTCCAAGCAATGTGAGCCGGAAACGGCAGATGGCATTACATCCATTGTCAGTAGAGAGCAGTGTATGCACGCATGTGCACCCTCAGCGTGCACGCTCCATCCTTATACAGTTCCAGATTCACCTGGCTAGGGAATGGTAACACTCACGGTGGGCTGGTTCCCCCACCTCAATGAGTGTAGTTTATATAATGCAATCGCAGATGCGGCTAGGGACCGCATTTGCTAGATCATTCTAACATGTCAGGTTGACAGTGAGCAGGGATCATTACACCTGGAATCCCTGTCGTTTGTCATCATGTGGTCTTTCCCCACAACCGGTCAACATGTAGAGACTAAGAGACTGTGGAGTGTTCAGTCTTAAATGGACCACACCCTTCCCTCTCAGGAAAGACTCAGGGGTCACTGAAAAAGGGTGGATAGATTGTAAGAGCCAGGGGTGGTGCATGACTGCCAGGAAGCAGTATTCGGTGGTACAACAGGGAAGCTGCATATATGAACTCACAGGGGGTGTGACAGCAGACACAAGACCCGTCAAACTTAAGCCAGCAAAATCCCTTCACGGAGGGAGGAAGATGGGCAGAGGGTAGGGAGATTCCACCCCTACGGGAAAAGATGCCAGGAGACGGACGGTCGGTGTTCTTTAAGGGTGTGAGCCCCGATAGGTTGACCGCTCTCCAGGAGGCACCACGCTGGAGAATTTAGACAACAGAAATTGAACTCCAAGAGTACAGAGAGAGAGAGAGAGAGAGAGAGAGAGAGAGAGAGAGAGAGAGAGAGAGAGAGAAAGATCATATGCCAGAGAGCACAGTAAGTTAGTAGATAGGCAGATGGGGTGAGTATGATCAAAATACATTATATGAAACTTTAAAAAGTAATAAAATTATTAAAATTTAAATTCATAAATCGTTGTACACATTTCCAGCAAAGTTAGTCGATACTTTTCCTGTCCAACAAAACAAAACAAAAAGTATAGGACCTTCCTATCTATGTACTCATCCCCCGCCTCCCTCCTCGCTCCCCCAACACACAGGTGGTAGAAATACCTTCTCTGGAATCAGCCTGGCAGGTGCAAGCTTGTCCATCGGGATTTACTGGTAGATGCTGCCATCTTGTGGCCATATTCTGCCACTGCACAAGCTCCAGGTGTAGGCCCATCGGTGTCACCCCGCCCACCTAACAGAGTTCCAGGGCTCCCAGAGGAAACACTAAACACTTCTAATAGTCCTACAATAACTAACTCTAATCCACCTCTCCCAAGATGACTCAAGTCTTCTTGCTGTGTGCGGGCTCATCAGCTCCCTCAGACATTCTGACCCTTAGGAGACTCCGGCCCTTGAATCCTCTGTCCCTGCTCCATTCGCGGGACACCGCTTTACTTTCATCCTGGGCCTGCTCAGAGTCCGAGATCTTGGTAACTGGGATTCCACTTGTGCTCCCCCATACCTGGCTAATCTTCATCTCTAGGTGGAGAGTGTCCAGGTCATTTTGTAAGGAAGTCACAGCAGACCGAGATGCTGTGTCACAGAGATCCCAGGACACCCCACTGCTACAGTCCCTGCTGGGGCTTGTATTACCTCTGTAGCTCAATTCTACAGTGTTGGGTAACTCACTACGATGCCCCCTTTTCTTGTTGTCACAGCTGCTGTTATTTCTCTCCAGCTGATCTTTCCACTCCCCCTCGTGCCGCCACTCCCCGTGCTCGCCTCCACCTAAAGTCTGTTAGCCTTTAGGTCAAATTCCAGAGTCATCAGATAACTCAGTGGGTAAGGGTTCGGGAACCTATAAGTGGTGGGTGGAGAGAACCAGCTATACAAAGTTACATGTGCGCTCTCTCTCCTACACATTAAAAATACGTATTTTGAAAAGAAGGGTCTCTTCACAAGGTCTGGAATTCTAGTTGGTTTTCTTTTTCTTTTTTTATGGATTGTTAATTCACCATTTGCTTCTTTCTAATGGTGATTTCTGTGATCCAGCGCTGTCCCACTGACATTCCCATTTCATACCAGAGGAGGGCGCTCTTGGGATGCCTGAAGAAAAACATTCCAAGTTCCGTGGATTGCGATCGCAAACAGGAACACTAGAGCTTTGGGGCACCAGATCCTTCCTGGTTCTAACTGCATCGGTTTTCAGGCGCCACCTAGTGGTTGCTTTCTTATCGTCCCTGTGGCGCGTTGACCCCACGGAGCAGAATGCGGCTTAGCCACAGTACCCAGGGCCAGGAGGTTCTGAGACCCTTTCCTTCACGCCAAAGCTCACCAAGCTCTACCGCCCCTATTCTGCTGTGGCACGATGGCATCTGGGCAGTTTTGCCAAAGAGGAGACCCACGGCTAAGAGGGGGGCAACTAAGACCTCCTGCCCCCCCGGAAGAGCTGCAGCAGCTTCTGTCACCCCCACGACAAAGACACTGCGGCTTTAAATCCTAGCCTAGGTAAAAAATTCCCAGGCCCGGGTCCTGCGATCTAGAGTCAATGGTGGCTTTGGAGACCCCTTTGTCACCTATCGTCTGTCCTCCCTGCTTTCCCATGCTGCCAGTCACTGGGCTTCATAACTCTGTACCCGGGACCACACTGTGGTCTCCACCCCACCCATCCCAGACAATCAATCTCTCTCTCTCTCCCTTTCTCTCAAGGCAGGAAGGACCCTGACTTCCTGTCCTCACCCAGCCCCCCCCCCCCCCCGCCCCCAGTGTGTGTGCAATCTGTAGGTTTCACTTTTTACACTATGGGTTGTCGAGCCTGGCTCACTCCCCACGCTCCACCTCCAGGACAAGTCCACCGGCCTGTCAGATCAATAAACTCCCCCTGAGTTTTCAGACCACAGACCTGCACCCTGGGGCAGCTTCTGGGGCCTTAGAAACTCCTTGAGTGTGGCTGTCTCCGGTCTTGACAGCCCAGGTAGTGAAAACAGGCCAAGAGGAGGTGTATGCACACTTGTGCCCTGCCTCCCTACCAGACCATAGACGCCCAGAGGACACATGGATTTCCCTTTTCTTATTAACGTCTCACCTCAGAACTGCCTCGCACGCTCTCCACACTGAGATGACCCTAGAGCCAGCCACAGGTGCTGGGGAGCCAGAGCTGACAAGGAACCTTGATCTCCGGAAACACCCTGTGTTAATGTAAGACGTGTCTTACCAAGGGACAATAAAAAAGCAACCACTAGGTGGCGTCACTCTTAAGTGTGTGGTGGGCATCGTGCTCCTTCATTAACAGGGTCAAGGGCTCTCCAAACTCAATGGACTGGACGGAAGCAACATGGACTGGGAACTACCAACCAGACTCAACTCACTGGGTGAGGCCTGAGATCCCCCAGGGTTTCAGGGACCAGTTTAAAAAGAAAACGTGCACCCTCCCGCCTGCAGATTTGTCCATCTGCTGGAAAACGGACACAGACCCATTGATTAGCAGGAACCACCTGCTGGGAGAACATACGATGCCGTCTTGTCATCTGTCTGTCATCGGCGAGAGAATGCTGCCACCCCCCTCCTCAGATGGAGTATTTGTCCAGGTTGTTAACTGTTCTGCCTGGACAGCATCCTAACACCACAGGTTGACATGCTGATCTGACACTCACCCCCAAGCCTCAGTTGGGGCGTATCCTTCTGAAGGGGGAGGCAGATGGGTGCTGGTCTTAGCCCGTCATCCCTGACACCTAGGCTCTGGGTTTCAGGCCCTGGCTGGTGAGCATGGCAAGGTCCAGGCCCTTCATGAGGACCTAACTTGCTGTGCAACCGTGAGAAAGCCTCTCTGCCCATTTTCCCTTCTGTAAGGTGAGGCTGTTGAGCTGGATCAAGGGTTGGAGCTCTCAACTTCTGCAGAAGAACAAGACAGTCACACCCAACTGCCACTAAAAGACACCAAGAAGACATCAGACCAGGACCTGGATTTTTTTATTAGACTAGGAAATATAATTTATTTCATAAAAATTAATCTCGTTACAAGAGGAATGCTAAAGGCTATTTACAGGTTGTTTACAGAATGAATGGGTGGGGCTGGGACCATCCCCACCATATTGGAATCCAGAGACACAGAGCCATGTTCACACCCCTGCATCCAAGCTCCCAGCCACTTGCCCTCTGAGGGTGAGTGGAAGGGGCTGACTCAGATGCCTGGGAGCTTCAAGATGGGGACCAGAGAGCCCTGGAAGATCAGGGATGAGGAGGGTCCCATCCCTCGGGAGGTGTCTGGCCAGAGCTCAGAATCATGGCCCCCATAAAAGGGCAGGAGAGGCACATAGGAGATACACTGACTGACCCTGTGACTCGGAACGGCAAACAGGCATACCCACTCCGGTGACACACTCCTGGGCACGGAGGCCATGTCCACATGCGGAAACAGGTGTGTGCATTCTGGGAGGGGTGCCCTGATGTGCCCAAATTCAAAAGCACAGGCACACTGACGCTTGTAAACACACACACACACACACACACACACACACACACACACACACACACACACACACACACACGCCCAAGATGACACACAATACCCTGCAGGACCCGACAACACCAAGCTGGCCAGAATGGAGAAAGGAGGCTCCAGATCACTGAAGGCAGGAGTGGAAACCCAACCCAAGAGCCCTGGCCCAGCCCAGAGTTGGCAGATATTACCTGGGTTGCTGCTACCAAGCTGTCCACTTGGAGCCCTATCCCAGGCTCCAGCTAACTGGGACCTGTTCACCAAGTGTTCCCTTCAGGGCCCAGGCAGGCAGGTTTCTGAGGGTGGGCAAAGAGGGTATACAGACCACAATCAACTTCTCTCTACTTGCTTCCCTTCTGAAGCTCAGAAACGTGTGAGACCCCTCCCCCCAAGGGGCCTCACGGAGCTTCCAGGAGAAAAAGGACACTGGAGCCCAGAGAAGGCAACTATATGCCCAAAGTCACACGGCACAGCTAGAACTTGGTTCCTGGTCTCCTGACTCCCAGAAGGGCCAGAGGCCCCCTCTGAGCGTGGGCTAACAGTGACCAGCAAGATCATGCCCACAGGGATGGGCATCTTTGGCAGGAAGAGCTGAGAGCCACTGTCTGGGGCAGTGTTCACCTAGGCGCGAGAGCACCTTGGTCCCAATCTCGGAGCCCCCCCTCAGGAGCTGCAGCGGAGAAGCCCGGACACAGACACAGAAATGAAACCTGCTCCCCCTTAGAAGCCCCAACTTTCAAAGCCCAGGGTGGACTCAATGGTCAAAAGTGGAGATGTCTACCTAGAAAAGTTAACCTCCAGATCTCCTGACCCCAGCAGGAGAGTGAGTGGGTGAACCAAGGACTAGGGGTGCAGTGCCTGCCTGGACACAAAGCCATCCAGCCTGAGAGGGAACCTGGAGGCCCCTCCCTCTCTTCAGGAGCCTCGCCTCTGGGCCACATTACCAGACCAGGAATCATTAGGGTAAGAGACCTGAACAGTCTCCACAGGTCACAGCCGGCCTGGGCCTCCAGGCAGATTCTCAGAAACCCAGAGGAGGCCACAGACAGAGGCATCTACCTGGGGCTCGGGAGGGTGGGAAGAACAGAGGCCCAGCTTCTGCTTTCGTTTTTAGGACTCAGCGCCACAGCTGGGGAAACTGAGGCATTGTCAGGATCCAGTCCACAATGGACTCAAGAGTAGCAAAGCATTTCCCTGACCACACCCATGCACGCACACATACGTGCACACGTGTGCCCATGAATGCGCTCGCTTGGGGCCCAAGTCACAGGCATACCTACCCACTCTTAAAACACACTGGAGAACAAAAGTGCCCCACGCCCCTCTTTTTTCTTTTCTTACTTTTTTGTTTTTGTTTTTTTCTTAAAAAGGACCTATCCAAGTATCTGGATAATAAATCATTTGCGTTTCCTAAGAAACTGTTTTTTTTTTCCCTTGTGGTTTTTGCTCACTGAGTTCTGAAGCTTTCATTCATTCTTGCTTCCTTCCTTCCTTTTTTTTTTTCCTTGTAGACAGGAGACAGCAGTTTGTCTGAACTCAACTCAACCTTTCAAAGAGGACCTGGGATGGGAGAGAGGTCCCCCTAGCCAAGGACGGTATGAACACAGAATTGAAACATGTGGGGCCCCCAGAGTCACAGGACTGAGGGTGCTGGGTTGTGACAGGGGGAAAGCCTCTGTCCTTAGGCTGCCCCCAAAGGCTTCAGCCCATCCCAGTGCCAGCCAGGAAATGGTGGGGCAGAGGATCCTGGCCTCTCAGCAGTAGAGCACAGAGGTTTTCTAAGGCTGGTGGTGGTCTGAGGGTGCAGCAGGGAGAGGGAGTGAGGGGCCATTCCAGCTATGAGCCCGGGACGGCCGAGGCTGGACACTCCCACAGGAGGCTGCTAGGCCTCCTTGTACTGTCTCCTACTGGTCTCCACCGTGGTCACAAGCGCTCAGCAGTCCCCATCAGTAGCCATGGCCATCAGCATCTCGCTTTTGCCCATCTCCTCCAAGGCACTGGCCAGGCTGTTGAGGTCCCCATCGTCTTGCTGCTGAGCTTCCCAGAGGTCCAAGATTACACCCGTGGGACTAGTCTTGGTGGCGAAGTAATTCAGGTACCTGTGGGAAGGAAATGGCAAAGTTGGCTTCCTGTGAGCTGGGAAGATGCGGGTGGAGGGATGTGTGGGCTCCAGAGCCTAGGTCTGAATTCCATGTCCTCTGACTCATCTCCTCTCCAAAACAGGAAGGAGGTCAGCTGTCTGTCTCCTGTTAGAGTCTGGGAACGCAGTAATCCTGGAAAGGCTCACATATGCGCTTCCTACATACAGTGTTTAGAGGTGGGCTTTGAGCAAGTGCCTGGGTCATAAGCTTCTACATCCATCAACAGATAAACCTACGGAGGGACTCAACATCTGAATAAGGGCTGGCAAGACAGTTCTGTGGGCAAATGGGAAGACCTGAGCTCAAATCCCTGGAACCAACATAAAAGTCATATGCACAGCATAAATGTCTATAATCCCAGTGTTCTTTGAGCACCCCATTCCAGGGAGATGGGAAGCAGAAACAGGGGTGGCAGCTCCTGGGCTAGCCTGGCACACACGGCAGAACAAGGAGACCCCGTCTCAAACACGGTGGAAGGTGGGGCCTGACACCCGAGGCTGTCCCCTGACCTGTACACATGCTCCACGCAGAGAGTGCTGCATGCACACACATGTTCTAAACACATGCATGTGACATCTAATAGATGATTGGACACGGGTGGACCTGTGGAAGGTGGGGCATGGCGGTCACTGAGGCATGTCTTGCTCTGGTCCTCCCAGTCTACTTCTGAGGTGACATTACTCCACCGTAGCCTCCTGACACACTGGTCAGCTTTGCTCTGAGGTACAGCAGCGGCAAAAGCTGAGCGGGAACCAAAGCCTCCGGAACTGTGGACCGAGACCTACCTTTACCCCCTTAATCGCCCGATGAACTCCCGCATCTCCTCACGCTGCTGGTGAAGTCCATGCTCACCCAAGCACCCTCTCATCTTATCCATCACCATCATCAAAAGATGCTGGGACCCTGAGAGACCTCCCTCGCTGGCATGCCACACTCTTCCCTGACATTCACTTTCGTTCTGGGCCTGATCCTGCGGCACAGGCTCCTCTGAGGACAGGAACAGTGTCTTAGCGGTCTTTCGAAGACCCTCCTGTTCCTAGTTACCAGGCCAGGCAGTGGTGGCACACGTCTTTAATTCCAGGACCAGGGAGGCAGAGGCAGGTGCATCTCTGCGAGTTTGAGGCTAGCCCGGTCTATGAAACATGTTCTAGGATAGCCAGGGCTACACAGAGAAACCCCGTCTCGAAAAATAAAATAATAATCACTTTTAACATGTGTGTATAGGTAAAAGGACAGTCTCCAGTGTCATCCTTAGGAACACCATCCACTTCATTTGAGGCACGGTTTCTCACTGGCCTGGAGCTCATTCTTCAGTTAGACTGGCTGGCTAGCTTATCCCAGGGATCTTCCTGTTTCTTGTCTCCCCAGTGCTGGGATTGCACATGTGTGTCAGCATGTCTGATCTTTGACAATGTGTTCATCAGGTCCTCATGCTTACACGTCAAGCACGTCACAGACTGAGCCAGCTTTTCTACCTGCTCAAGGCCACTGGATAAGGATTTCTGGTAAGTAACCATTTAACACCTTTGCCATGTATATCTGGCATTCAGAGTTCCTCCAAAAGAGCCTGGGCACCGAGGTGTTGGTGACCACAGCTACCTGGTGTCAGGGCTGTGTCTACCCCCTTGTTAGGGGCAAGAAAGCGTTTGCCTGCCGTGTAAAAGAGCAGGGCTTAGAGAGTGGTGGCAGTCACTTGAAGTTCATAGGCCTATTCTCTGAAAGAGACATTGGGCAGAGGGACAGTGACCTCAGACTCAGTGCATACAAACCCAGCTGTGGATCTGTCACTGCTTATGGCACAAGGGGAATTAAGCTGGGAACTGGCCTTGGTCTGCTGGGATACGCACCCCGCTTCCCGGCCAGACCTTGAGGATGAGGGCGATAGGGGTGACTGTGGCTGGGGATACTCACCGGTCCATCGACAGCTTCTGTGCCAAGAGCCTCCAGTCATTGCCCCGTGAGCTCGGGGCATCAAGGCTGCTGCAGATCTTCTGGCGGATGGACAGTGGTATCTTGAAGGCGTAGGGTCCCAGTTGGGTGGTGACAGCATTGCCAGGAGCAGAGCAGAGTGCATCCAGGGAGCCAGCAGGTGTCTGGAAGGGTAAGGAGGAAGATGGAATAGCCATAGTGCTGGACAGGAGCTCATCCAGTCTCCCTGCCTGGAGAGGTAGAGTGCTTGCCTAGCACCCATGATGCCCTGGGCTCCACACTCACCTTTGTCTCCTCTGGGTTCTCTCTAGCCACCCGCTTGTGGAGGGCAAGGGTTGCTCAGTGATTCATGTCAGGTGTGACCTTGCTTGGGATCAGCCCTGGGCACATGCTGACTTAGCTTTGGGAGGAGGAAGTCCCAAGAGTCATGGTCATGGTCTAGCCCATGAAGACCAGCTTTGTTGCAGGTGGAAAACAGAATCTAAAGAGGACAGGTGGCCTACCTGGGGTAGAGCTGGCTTGAGACCTGTGTTGAGTGCTTTGTGCTATACTGGTTATCTTAGGGGTCCCGGCTTTGTCTAAAGCTCGGTGTGGAGTTAGTGGTTGAGAGCCTCAGGCCAGTCCTTACCTTGGTCAGGTTCAAAGCCAGCCTTGCCTGTTGGCCAAATTTAGTATTCTGACACTCCCTTCCCTAAGATCTTTTTATTTTATTGAGATAAGATCTCACGAAGCCCAAACTGTCCTCAAACTCACAATGGACCTGAAGATGATCCTATATCCTCTTGTCTCCACATCCCAAGTGCTGGGATGGCAGGTGTCACCATTGCCTGGTACAGTTGATGGTGGAACCCAAGACACCATACATGCTATGCAAGTACTACAGCCCCAACCTCGAGACTCTCATCTTCTACACGGGGACCACCATAACCCTCTCCCTGTGGGTGTGGCAACTTGGTATGGTAATATCTGTCTCAAGGTGACTTGGGAGGTGGAGAGGAGCCTTCACGGGAGATGCTGGGGGAGTAAGGCGAGTGTGTGCCAGAGCCTCAGTCCCCTGGGCCGTCACTGACCCTCACCTCCGCCAGCGTGGTGTGCAGCTGGAAGATCTGGCCTTCCCCTTCCACCTGCCGGACGCAGACCTTACAGGTAAACTCGGTGGAAGCCAGGCTGTGCCTCTCCAGCGTGAACGTGCAGTGCAGGGCCTTCTGGCTGCCGTTCCAGATGTGGTGGAAGGGAATCTCCTGCAGGACAGGCGGGCGGTCAGGGCTGCAGGCAAGACTAGGCATTTGCCAGAAGAGGGTGGGAACCAGCCTCAGGGAGGGCTGGGTCTTCGGGGGTAATTCAAGTCTCTCTACGAAATGGTTTTGGAGTGGGAAAGCTGGCTAGCTAAATGGTGCTGACCCCTTGGTTCTGAGAGGGAGCTGAAAAATAGGCCTGTGTGGGAGGGAGGGGAAGACTCTGTGTGTGTGTGTGTGTGTATGTGTGTGTGTATGTGTGTGTGTGCGTGTACATATGTATGTATATATGTCAGCATGTGTACACACGCAGGGACATGGAGTAACTAGGGCCTCAATGGTGGCATGCATTGCAGGTGGAACAGAGGGACATGGGTACCGAAGATAAGCACAATCAGCCTGCGAGGCTTGTATTTGTTTAGATGGGTCCGGCCCCAGACCAGCAACTGGAAGTATAGAGGGCCTGAGACGGGATGTGGAGGTGATGGGCACGGGTATCTGTGTGGGTGGAGGGGCAAGGCGGACTGAAGATGTGGCTGTCAGTTGGGGCTGGGCCTGAAGATGGCTGGAAACATGGAGGATAGAGTGGGGAGACAGGACAGGGATCGCAGTCCTGGGAAACAATGCTCACTTCACTGCCAAGGTTGGAGGACTGGTTCCTCCCTGCCCGTCCCCAGGCCCATGCTCACCTGGTACTTGGCCAGTAGCTTGCTCCTCCAGTGGGCATGGGGTATGTCGTGGAGGGAGAGGCGCAGGTTGTGGTAACTGTCCTTAAAGAGCAAAGGCTTGGGCTCTTCTACCAAGTAGCCTCCCAGAGTCCGCTCCAGCTCCAGCACCTCCTGTTGATGGGCAGTGGGAGGGACTTGTTACCCTAGGCTCATGGGTCTTTCATATTGCAAGTTGCTAGTCTGGGGCCAGACCCATCTGATCCAATTAAAAAGAAGGTGTTTGGAATGAATGGATAGGCAGATACACAAGTGGATGAATGGAAATGATGGATGGATGGATGGATGGATGGATGGATGGATGGATGGATGGATGGATAGATAGACAGATAGATAGATGGATGATAGAGATAGATAAGTAGATAGATAGACAGACAGACAGACAGATAAGATAGGCTTATAGACTATGGTAGACCAACAGATAATTGATAAACTGGATAGATGCATATTCATAGACAGACAGAGGGATAGACAGATACATATAGAGACCATTGTGTGGGTAACAGGAGCTTGGAAGGAGAATTAGATAAATGTATAGATGGGTTGAGCATACAGGTAGGATACTGACCAAGTATGTGACTAGGTGAACACAAAGATGATGGATGGATGGATGGATGGATGGATGGGTGGATGGATGGATGGATGGACGGACGAACCAACAGATGATTAAATGGATCACTGGATGGATGTGTGGGTTAGGTGGGTAAACAGATAAATAGATGGATATACAAATGAGTGAGTATATGAATAGAAGAATATTTGGAAGGAAAGACACATGAGTGAAGAGACGGATAGCAGCTGGATGGCCATGTAGGCTGTTTACCAAGTAAGTGTGTTGGTAAGGCGAATAAAAGGGTAGTGGGTAGATGGGCTTGAACAAGGAGAGGATGCAATCAGGCCCAGACGATTCCCTGATGACCTTCACACCAGCCTTTGGCCAGGATGAGCACTAGCCAGCACCAAAGCCACCAAATTCAGCTGCAGGAGATTGCCAACAGTGCCCCGCCCCTTCGGAGGCCTCTCGGAATGTCAGGGAAGAACAGTCCCCACAGGGGATGCTCATTGTCCCACAAGGCCTTTCATCCATGTTGCATCAGTCCCTAGCACAGAGTCCGAGAAAGCCACATGAGACTCAGAGACAGCGTGACTAGGAGAGACCCCCAACCCAGGGTCAGGGGGAGGCATCGGTCTGTCAGAAAGAACCATGAGGCTTCTCAGAGTCCTGGAAAGATAGAGAAGAGAGCCAACTCTACATCCTCTAGTATCATGCGAGGATGAGACCAACGACCTGGGAATGAGACAGGGTTCAGAGAGGAAGGGAGTGTGGTTTTGAGACATGTATGGCAGGTGGTGTCTACGCTGGTCTTCACATCTGCCGACATTATCCCCCTCCATCTCTGTCCAGCATCCCCTCACCTGCCCTTCCTCTCCCTCACTTCTGGTCTCCATTGGCTTTGCTCTGTGTCTGCTAGAAGCCTGGGCTATCCGTGCTCGGTCCCTGGTCTGTCCATCCTACTGACTGATCAACCACAAGGTCCAACCTCATCTCCCGGCCACTGCCACTGCCACTGCCTGCTGTCTGGGACTTGGCCCCAGCTTTCTAACTGGCCTTTGCCTCTTGTTTACCAACACACACACACACACACACCATAGCTGTAGATCATTCTAGAAAGCCCCTGTGAACCGGGTCTGACACAGCTGGGCCCCTTGCCACTGGACAGTATCCCAGTTACTAAGCACAACCCGAGCCTACTACACAAGCAGCTCGCCTCTCCAGCACTCTCTCACTCACACGGTCACACACGACACTGTCCACACATGCTGAGCTGCACTCCTGTCTTGGCAGAAAGTCATTCCGCTGGTTGGACATGTCCTTCCTCTTCTCTACCCAGAGTGACACCTTGCTATCCAGGGCCTAGATCTGAGGTACACTTCCTCAGACTCCTCAAAAGAGATTTCCCTGTTTGTCTCCCACCTCAAGCCCAGAGTCAGGAGCTGTGGCCTCCAGCCCGGTCTGAGAGTCCACTGCTGTTCTGATGTCTGATGAAAGTAAGAGCGACTATGATGGAACCTGCTGCCACAGAGAAGCCTGGCAGGGACCACACACCCTGCGAGGGGTGCCAGCAACTGACGGGCTGTGCTGAAGCCCCCGCAGCGCCCCCACATGCTCCCACCTTCAGAGCTACGGGCGTGTCCTCCAGACAGTAGACCCTGAGGCTATACTCCAGGGAGGTGCAGAGGGCTGGGGCAAAGATGGCCAGCTGGAGTCGCTTGACGGCAGAACGGGAGTAGGACTCGCCCGTGAACACATAGGTGCCTAGCTGGTCCAGCAGGATGTGACAGGACTTAGCCTCCAGCTGGCAGTAGCAGGGGGTGTTCAGGGTCTCCTCATCCAAGGTCACCACCTCCTACAGGGGGAGAAGAGGTTGTTGTCACATGGGCTGGGATCAGTCATGGGAGGGGCAGTTCTGAGAGTCAGCCACGCCCCCCCAAGCCCCCCCCACACCCGGCGCCTCACCTCCCAGTGGCCCTGATGGGTCTGGGTCTTGAGCTGGAAGATCCAGTCTCCGGCGATGACTTCAGCACAGTGAGGCACAGTGAGGATGACAGGGCGGCAGAGGAGGAGGCCCGTGGGACCACAGGTCACCGAGGGGCTCAATACTGTCTGGGTCCCCTCCGAAAGCGAGCTGGGGATGGGACGAGGGACGCAGTGAGCAAAAGCTGGAAGTAAACCCCACCCATACAGAGCCCCCAGCTCCACTAAGAGCCTGTGCTGGGGCAAGTCTCTGCTGCTCGGGAGACTGGGGCTGCCAGACACCACAGTGGTGGGAAATAGGGATATGCCATAAACCGGGAATTGTGTTACATCAAAACAGTCTCGGCCGAGGCTTTCCCTAGCCTCAAAGGTCTGGGGTTTTATAGAACATTCTGGTCTTTCTTTACTTTCTTTAAAATAAAATAACAAGATACACAAAAACCATCTGTGGTCATAACAACCAAAAAAAAGAACATAGTGGTGCATGCGTTTCATCCCAGCACTTGGGGAGGCAGAGGCCGATGTGAGTTTGAGGCCAGCCTGTCTACATAGTGAGTTCCAGGACAGCCAGCCAGGGCTACACAGTATTAAAAAACAACAACAAAATCATTTGAGTGTGTGTGTGTGTGTGTGTGTGTGTGTGTGTGTGTGTGTGTGTGTGTGTGAAGTGAGAGGAGAATGTATGGGAGTCAGTTCTCCCTGTGGGCTCTGGGGATGTAACTCAGGCTCGCTGGCAAGCACTTTTACCCGCTGAGCCATCTCGTGAGCCAGCTTTTGGAACATTCTTATGGCATGCTGCTGCACTGCCCTCGGGAGAGCCCGTCCCAATCTACACAACCACCAGTGTGTGTCAGGAAGGTGGTGTGCCCGCGTTCTTAGAGGTGTGGCGGTATTAGCATTAGGGAAAAACATCCTTACGGATTCCTTAAGCAAAACCCTTCTTAATGTCTACCCATGTTGTTTCATGAACTGTCTGTGACTACAATTCAGATGGACTGACTTGTCATAAACAACATACATGGCGTGTGGACATGTGAATCACTTGTTCATGTTCTAGGCCCATGTTCAAACTGAGGAGATGCACCCCTAAGCCTGTGGGTTAGGGATCCAGAAGGAATGAAAAGGAGCCGGGCGTTGGTGGCGCACGCCTTTAATCCCAGCACTTGGGAGGCAGAGGCAGGCGGATCTCTGTGAGTTCGAGGCCAGCCTGGTCTACAGAGCTAGTTCAGGACAGTCTCCAAAACAATACAGAGAAACCCTGTCTCGAAAAACAAAACAAAACAAAAAAAAAAAAAAAAAAAAGAAAAGGAAAGAAAAGGAGAGGGTAACCTTGGGCACCAGCGCTCACGCCTCTCTGCTTCCGACCATGGATGTTCCTGTGACCACAGCTAGAGGGGCTGTGGGGTCACCATGGTGAGCCCAAATTAATGCCCGCCTCAAGTTCTTATCAGACATTTGCCACAGCAATGGGACAGGGAGCAATACCCTTTACACAGGAAGGACTTGCTGCTGCTGGGTTTTACCCAGTCAGAACATACTTTCTCTGGGGGACCCTGGACAATGGGGACCAAGGTCCAGGGGGGACATGGAAATATCTGTGCCCAGGGTGGGTAGAGAAGGGGCGCTGCCTGGTCAGGGCTGGAGTGTCTACTCACAGGGTGCTTTCAGCTTTGTTGATAAGTAGATACATCTCATAGAACTTGCCCGGGGGAATGGCTCCATTTGGCACCAACAGGCTGACCCCTGGGAGGAAAGGAAGGTCTCATCAGGAAGGGCTTAGAGGAGGCAGAGGTGATAAGAATGGGGTGGGACCTGGCTCCAGTTTAGGGAGAGGAGAGACTAGAGATTAGCGGGAGAGGTGAGGGCAGACACCAGGAGCAGCCAGGCCACTCGGCCATAGCTGGTATACCCAGGAATACATGGGCTGCTAGCATTGCTGGGGGCTTGGGGTGTCAGAGGGCCCTGTGCTACTCCATGCTGGCTCGGGACAGCACCCTAAAGAGCTGCCAGCTGCTACTCTCGCAAGTCAAGATGGGCACTCCCGCCCTGCTGCCACTCAAAGTCAGGACCTCTCTGAGGAATCCTAATGATAAGAGCCGTTCTCGCAACCTGACGGGCAGTGAGGCTCCAGCAGGCCTGATGTCAGGTCTCCTGCGAGACTTCTCTATGTGTAACCTGCCCTGAGCGTCACTTTCCCATCCGAGCAATGGGATCAAGGGCCTACCTGTGCCAGGGATGCTCAGCCTCCCACCCAGGCAACCAAAGGTGCCACTGAGGCTGCTGCTGGGGTCTCGGGGTCCGCCCAGGAGCTGTTGGGAACCAAGGCTGGCACTGCGCAGGTGCAGCAGGTGGGTGTCCCGGGAGAAATCGCCTGGGTATGTGCCAGGCTGCAGGACACCCAGTAGTAGGTCGGCTCCATCAGGGAGGCCAGATGCAGAGCCGGTGGTGCTGGAGTTATAGACCTTGATCTTGAGGTTAGGTAAGGGATCCAGCAGGGGTGAATTAGTCATAGGGATCTTGTCGGCGGAATCCTGCAGGGCATACACGGGGCCCCGGTAGATGCCAGCACTGGCTGTCAGGTCTGGAGGGGCAGCTGGGTGCAGGAGCTGTGGGTTGTCTGCAGGGGTGAATGTGAGAGTCAGAATCACCTTCTCCACCCCTCACCACACTGGCCCTGCCAGCTCTGTTCCCGTGGTGGCTTCTGCCCTGTCCACATGTCTAGTCACAGACGGCCCAGTTGCCACCTGTCACAGAGAGTCTTAGACAAATGGGGAAACGCATCAGGGGGGCTCTGGTGACAGCTCTAGGGTCCCCCAACCATCCCTGCTACCCCAGGCTTCTCCAGGTCCTCACTAGGCCTTGCAGTCTTGAAGTTGACGGGATGGAAACCACCAGTGAGGGCAGCAGAGGAGTCGGTGATGTCCGTGTCAAAGTCCCGGCAGTTTCTTCGGTACACCACCACGCCCACCGCCATGAGTACTGCCACAGCTACGAAGATGGCCACCACGAGGCCTGCGTACAGTGCCACATCTCCCGAGGGTTCCAGGACTGGAGAAGCAGTAGGGTTAAGTGAGGGGCAGGGCCCTTTAGGGTCCCAAGGGAAATCTAGATTCTAGGCTCCGCCTGCCAAGACAGAGCGGTGGCCTCAGGCAAGCCTCACAACCCTCCGAGCCCATCCCTTCCTAGGGCCCACCCTCCTGGTATAGCGTCGAAGGTAACATGACCAATAGGTCTCATTCGCAAGCTCACTCATGGCTCATGGCTGAAGCCAGGGGTGCAGGGCTCAGAAATGGGAGGGCACAGCACACAATCCCACCTAAATGCAAAACGTCGGCTCCAAGCCTACAACTTCCCTATGACCAAAGTCCCGGCTCCCTAAAACCTTAATCAGTCTCCTGGGCTATGCCAAGGATGGGAGGTGGAGAGGGTGGAGGAGTGCGTTGTGAGCAGTAAAGCAATGGATGGAGAGGTGGTGAGCAGATGGGCGAGGAGATGGGGTTGGGGGGACGCCACCCGCGGCTACACCTCCTTCCTCCAGCAAGGGGCTGCGGAGGCAAGTAACTACTCATTGCCCGGCAGAGACACGGCAAGGTCAGAGGTCATTCTAGGAGGATGGGCCCACCCTGTTCACACCATCCCTTGTGTACTCTGGTAGACATGCGCAGCTCCTGAAACCTTAACTGTGGTCGGTGCGCCCGAGGAGCTGTGTTTTCTAATGAGTGTACCTTTAATTAAGTGAAATATGAATTTTAAAAGCCACCTGCAGTGAGCGACTATCACATCAGCCAGCTCAGGCACAGCCAAGATGGGGGGGGGGGGTGGCACCAGACAGCTGCTCTCTGACCTTGTTTCTTTGGGGGCCTGTGCTTCATTAGAAACAGGGAACTCTGGGCGAGGTAGCCTGAGTTTCAACGCCTGGCGGTCCGCACCCGTAGGTTAGCCCAATGCGCCTAGGATGGAGGCCATGGCTTCCTGCTCTGGGAACCTGCTCATTGTCCACACTGCCTAACAGTCCTTGCTAGGGATCCCCAGAGCATCCTGGCAACCAGGGAGCTGCTAGAGATTCTTTCTCAGGGCTGGCCTGTCTCCTCTCGGGGCTCTTGTCCCAGCAGGAGCAGACCCCCCCCCCTAAGCTTGGCTCCCACACTCCAATGTCCTCACTCACACTGGGGGCCACTTGCTTGGCGATTCATACTCTAATCAGCCAATGGCCGGGCCTCTTGGGGCGCTGGGCTGAAGCCTTCCCTGCAGGTTTTATGATTCCAGAATGATCTGAAATTGCTCTTTAATTACCACAGGCTGGTCTGAGGGAGAGGCTGTGTTGCTCTGATATTGCAGGCACAGCGGCAAGGGCCCAAGGGGCAGGAGGAGTCCCTTGGGAGCTGAATCAGAGCAGTGCCAGAGTTAACTTGGGAGGTGTGGCCCAGCTGCTGAGGGTACAGTGTGGGGCAGAGGGACACAGGCATGACTCTGTCTCCTGGCATGTCTCAGAGAGGAAGGAGAGTGATTAAGACTGTCTGCTTTGGCCACAAAAATATTTGGGTTCAAGTCCTGGCTCTGCTACTTCCTGGTTTGCTCCTTGGAGAAATTTCTTCTCCTCTCTGAGATTCAGTTTCCTATCCTATAACAGGCGGGTAAGGGGGAGTCCTGGGGCCTTCAGTCAAGAGTCTGCTTGCTTCCCTGTGATGGGAGTGTGGTAAAATGCGTGAGGTACAGGGACCCTATGGGTTTGTACTAGAGGGAAAATAAGAGTCAGCTCTCCCTGCCTTGTACCCCACACCCACGGAGAGCCAGCCAAGGAGAGCCAGAGATCCCCAGAAGAAAGAGGACAGAGATGAAATGGGACTTACGGTGGCTTTTAGGGTCGTTTAGAGTTCTCTTATCTGTCAAGGGAAATAAAGGGAAAGACAATGACACAGGTGACAGAAAGGGGATGGCAGAGAAGGTAATGGGGGCATGGTATGGATGAGATGAAGGATGAGGGGGTCAGACAGAGTCCCTATGGGCTGCTCTGCTCAGGCGGGCACAGCGGCCCAGGGCTGGGCAGGGGCAGAGGGGCCTGTCACCTGACTCCAGAGCACTCACTCTGCACGCACAGCCCATCGGTGCAGTTCTTGGAGTCAAGTAGAGTTCCACTGCAGTCACGGCCTCCGTTCTGGGGTGGGGGCGCCATGCACTCACGACTACGCCAGTGTGCACACTCCGTGCTGCAGGCTGACCACTTACTCCACTCAGTCCATGCCCCATCCACTGCGGGGACACAGCACGAGCAGTTATGCATCCAAACAGCAACACAGGAACAGTAACAGCACAGACACTCACGCACGCACACACACACACACACACACACACACACACACACACACACCAATCAGTAAACCAATAGCATGCCCACACTGCTACAGGCTAGGGGCAGTTAGCCGCACTCAGTGGACAAGAACAAAGATACTCAAGGTTACTGGCACAGAGAGAGCCCAAAACCAGGGTGAGAAAACAACACCACACAGTCACATATACACAACCAAAGGACAAGCATGGCTGGACGGACAAGGATGGGGGGGTGGGCAGAGGAAGCTAGAGAAGGGGAAAGACAGACAGCCAACAGTCATCTCAACAGATACACTCAGGGAGCTCTCCGGGACCCCGGCAGCTCCTGAAGTCAGGAGCCCTATCTAGCTTCAGCTCACTGCCTCTGATTCCAGCTCTCCAGCAGCCTGGGACAGAATCAGAGGCTAGAGGCGACAGAGCATGTCTGGACACTTTGCTGCTGGGAGGGGAGGTATCACCCCAACTCTATACACATCCCATAGGCAGAGGAGCCTGGGTGGGCGTGTGACTCCTACCGGGGCACACAGTGGTGCAGGCTGTCTTCTGGAAGGCTTGTCCCTCGCAGAAGGCACCTCCATTGAGTGGGGCTGGGTTGGTGCAGGTCCGTGTACGCTTCTGCCAGCCTCGGCCGCATCTATTAGAGCAGGGTGACCACTCTGCCCAGCTGGACCAGCCACCATTCACTGTGGGGATGGGTCATCACACGGTTAGCATGGATCTGGGTTCAAACCCATCACCCACCTTTACTAATCCAGCCACTCTGGTTGGAACCCTTCACTTGCGGTGCTGGGCACTGAGACACCACCTTCAGCATCCGAAGGGGCCTAGGAGGTCACTGTCTAATCCTGGCCTATTGTACAGTGACACAGGAAGGCTAGAGGATTAGCACTTAACCAAGGTCACCCAGTGTGTGATGGGGTACCTGGGCTTTGGTCTGGGACTGAATCCCAGGAAAGAACTTTCTAGTACATTCTAGTCACTGCCACTATGATTCTTCCCGCCATCTTTGGACCCAAAGAAATAGCAGAGAGCAGTGCGCAGGCCTAGATAGCATCCTTACCTTTCCTGGGACAAAATGACTTGAGTGTGGGGATCTGGTTTTGACCCTGCCTTGGGCCTAACTCAGGAGATGTGGGTCTTTTTTAGAGGTGGCCAAGGGGCCCTGAGAAGTAGGGGGTGCTCCTGGCTGGGGACCCAGAGTGCCTGACTCGGCCACCTATCTCTCTAGACTTCCTCTCCATACAGTTCATGGGCCACTGACCTCCAGGAGGTCAGGACAGGTGGGATGTGTCGCCTCAAGCCTCCCGCTAGCACCCGAGAGCTCCCATGATAGAGGGCACCCAAGATAACCACAGCACATCCCAGCAAGCACCCCGTCCACACCGTAGACGATGACCGTGGCAGTGGTGCTCCTGCGCTTGGCCACGATATTCTTGGCCACACAGGTGTAGTTGGCTGTGTCTGACAGACGAGCCTGGCGGATGATGAGGTTGTGGTCAATGGTGAGCAGGAAGTTGGTGTCCTGAGTGGGGTCAATGACATCCTCGTTCTTGAGCCACTCCACCTGTGGAGGGGAGCAGAGAGGACTCATTGCCTGCCTGCTGGCACTGGGGATGGGCCTCCGGCAGAGGGAACGAGGGGGTCCAAGCATCGTCAGAATACCGGTCCTGCCTATGTCCACGCCTAGGGTCACGCCTGGCAGCAACGGGTACCAGCACCACTGTGGGGAACATCATTTCCCAGCGGAGTGATCTTGGGAGACCCGGGTCTCACCTCACCAACTGTAAGATGGACCCTGAGCAGCACCCACCCCGCGGAACAGGGGTGAATATGACACGCTGGGCTCAGGGAAGTACTAAACATGCACAGGCTGCTAGAGTCTGTCCCACCCTAAGCTCCCACAGCAGGACCCCTGGGTTCAGTCCTCAGCTCCGCTACTCACCAGCAGTCACAACCTAGGCATCTCTAAAAGGGTTGCCTTGACTACACTGCAGGGCTGCTGAGGAGACCAAAGCCCAACAGGTAGCAATCGCCACTCAGGTGCCCACTTTACCCACTGCCCAAGAGGGCACAAGAAGAAACCTAGGAGACCAGTACAAAGTTTGGGGGCTTGATAGCTGAGTCCTTCGGTGCAAAGTCACATGTCCCCTTTGAACTTCCACACCAGCGTGGGGCATGCGTGGAGAGAGAGGAAGGAGGTGTCTAGCTGAGGGAGTGGGCATCTGAGCACACACATTGAAACCTGGTGGTATCTACAAGTGGGGGTGTCAGGACCAGGTGGGGGGCTGCCCAAGGAACCCTGGGGTTCTCTTCCTGTGAGGGTGCATCTATGGAGGGCTGGAGTGAAGGGAGGGCAGGACCACAGAGGTCTGGAGGCTGTGGCATCCCAGCTGCTGGTAAGTGCCCTGCCTGGCTGGCCACATCGCCCTCACCTCAGCCACAGGCACTCCCTCCGGTGGGCGGCACTGCAGAAGGACCTCATGATCCAATGGCACCTCCTTTGCCAGAGGCTCCTGATCGAAGTTCTTGCGCAGGTCTGAGAGGAGGGCCAAGAATAACAGGTGAATGCTGGATGGGAGCATGAAGTGCCCATTAGGGCCACTAGGGGGCAGAGCATATCTAAGGACCTATTTACAGGCTCCCTTCACCTGGGAAACGGGGTCTGCTCCCTGACTCTGGGACCTTGCCTAGAAGCCTCTGGCTTTCCTTCACAGGTGGCAAGGACTGCTGGAAACCCTGGGGCCTGAGGCCTGGTTTCTGGGTCTAAGAGTCCGCGTGGGAGGCACCCAAATGCCCCCTTAGCAGATACTCCTCTCTCTGACATCAGTGGGGAGATAGAGCGGGGAAATCAAGGTAGCGTACAAGCAATGCGGATGTAGGCTCGCCGACTCTTGGTGGTTCCGGAAGAGCTCCAGGCTACACACTGGCACCAGTAGTCCTCCAGCCCAAACAGCTCCTCCACCTGCTGCCGTGACACCTCGATCTGCACCTCTCGCATCCGCAAGCCTGGGAGAGAGAGGCCGGGTCCTTTTAGGCAGGGGGAGACGCCACCTCTCTTCCACCCCAGCCTGTGGCTCCGCTCCCCTGCAGAATCCTATAGGCTTCCATTCGGAGCTATCGACAGCTGTTCCCCGGGTCTGCGTGAAAGCTAAGGCCAGCAGGTAGCCCAACTGGAAGTGCCCTGAGCATAGTAGGGACAAAAGAGTCCCATGCAGGAGACAGTGTGCTGAGGCTCTGGGGCTGCTTGGGGCCCTGTAGAGGCCCTACGTCTTTTTTCTAAGGGAATCTGTGGAACGTGTGTGTTTTTGACAAGCACAGGTTAGTTGGGCGGTGAATGGGTCTGAGGATACAGAAGGCTGGCCTTAGCTTTCACGCTCTTGTCTTAGTCACAGCTGTCCTCCCATGCATGGGCTGTGGGACCACAGTCACTAGGCACAGCTAGTGGGCCCAACAGAACCCCAGTGCCCAGGGCTGGCAGGTACCACACGCTCTTGACAGCAGGAGCAAGAGCCGTGCTGGCACTGTTACTAGGAACCATGGGGTTGTTACTGCCATCACGGGTCATCATCTGGGGACCCCAACAGGTAAACTGCCTCTTGCTTGGACTAGAACTCATGGCTTTCCCTGACTAGGAATGAGAAGGGACTCACAGGCCCAAGAAGTAAGGACTAATTGTAAGAGGCCAGGACAACCCCAGAAGAATACAGAGGGCCCTGGTTCTCTGCCTGCCTGACACTATACCCGTGCCATCTTGTTGCCGCCCCACTGGGACCTCCTGCTGACAGAAGGAAGCACACGGGGCTCAGAGAGGCTGAGTGATTTCCCCACAGTCACACAGCCAGAGTGGTATCATCTGAGTGGTGGGTCAAGCTATTCTCTCCTGTCTTAATCGAGACAGGAGCTCACTATGTGGACCTGGGGGAGTGTCAAACTTTTCATCCTCCTGCCTCAAAGGCCTCCTCCAAAGGTTGGGATTGACAAGCCTGCTTGTTTTGTTTCGCTTCTAACTCTTTTATTATTCACCAGAGTGGGATATGATGTCTTTATCTTAGGATCCTGGTGCCATGCTCACACCTGAGACTGAACCTTGAGAGCAGCGCACGGTGGTGGTTGAGTCTGGGGTGTGGCTTTGCATCGGGGTGGGCCTGACATCAGGGCTTTTCAAGGCAACACAGAAACCGAAGGAGAGAGAAGGGGGCGGGTCAGGAGGGGAAAAGGAGAGACCAGACATAGACCAGAAGGGGACAACAGGCATGACCAAGGAAAAGAAACAGGAAAGAGAGAAAGAGGAGCACGGAGCAGGAGACAGCAAAGCCAGGCCGGGAGTCAGCGCTGGGCTTGGGTTGCCCGGCTCCCATCTGCCTGTCAGGAGTCGCCCCTGTCGGGGGACACCTGTGCGTGCTCTTTTCCTAGGTCTGCGTTCTGGGAAAGGCTTTCTATCGGGGTTCACATTAGTGACAGGCACCTTCCCTAAACCCGGGCACTGGTGCTCGCCGGCCTGTGGGAGCCATTTGAGCTGCTGAGCCTCCACCTGGCAGCAGGGTGGGCCTCACCTCAGCAGGAAGGGCCCTTGTCCTCTTTTCATCCCCGAGGCTCAGCCAGTCCCTTAGGGTCTGGGCTGCATTCCAGTGTCACTTTGTTTGATCATCATGCAATGTTTACGGAATAGAGCAGCCCCAATCTGCAATCCAAAATGCTCCCCAAATTTATTTATTTGTTTTTGTTTTTCTGAAACAGGGTTTCTCTGTGTAGCCCTGGCTGTCCTAGAACTCACTCTGTAGACCACGCTAGCCTCAATCTGAGATTAATCTGCCTCTGTTTCCTGAGCTGGAATTAAAAGCATGTGAAATCTTTTTACTTAAAATACCTTTACATTTAGTGTTTGTGTGTGTGTGTGTGTGTGTGTGTGTGTGTGTGCGCGTGCGTGCGCGCGCGCACGAGTCACAGCTTGCATCTGGAGTCAGGGGACAGTTTTCTGAGTCAGCTCCTTCTACCACGTGGGTCCAGGGACTGAGCTCAGGTTGTAAAACAAGTGCCTTTACCCACCAAGGCATCTTGCCAGCCAACTTCATTTTATTTTATGTTTTTGCCACGAAGGGAATTGAACCCAGGGCCTTGTGAATACTGGCAAGCACTCTACCAATGAGCTACAGCCCCAGCCCCTCTTCTCACTTTTTGAGACAGTGTCCCAAAATAAACTTGAACCTGTCATCCTCCTGCCTCAACCTCCTGAGTAGCTAAGGTCACAAGGCTGCATTCCAAAACCAAAACCTTCCAAGTGCTGACAGAAAGTTGCAGAAGTTTAAGGTTTTGGAACATTTTGAATGTTGCATTTACTTTTAATTAGAGGGAATTATCTGATTCACAATCTGGGCAAGCTCTCAGTCCAAAAAATTCTGACACTGAGGATGTATATTGACAAGGGCGACTCAGCATGAGCGAGTCGTTTCTGGGGAATCGGAGGTGGCACTGAGGCACAGGAGCCAGGCAGGGTGGGTCTCACCTGTGGCCTCATCCAGGCTCTCCTGTGTGACGTGGTCGTTCTGGCTGACCCATTCGCCGTTACACTTGAAGTAGATCTGTGTGGCGGGGAGGGCCCGGCAGCGTAGTTCCACGGGCTTGTTCTTCACAATGTAGGCATCCTGCGGTTCCTGCAGGAAGTGAGGCAGCTGCTCCGCGGGGGCCGACGGTAAGGAGTCTGGGAGCCCCTGGCCACCTAAGTCAAGAAGGCCTGTGGAGAGGCAGTACCGTGAAGTGCGGGCTGGACACACCTGGCCCTGGGCACTCACTCATACAAGATCTCCTGCCTGGCCTTGGTCATCTCTCCCAGGCTGAGGCTAAAGCACAAAGCAGGCCAGCCCTGCCCCAAAGCTACCGCTGCCCTCCGCAGCCCCAGTCAGCATGGCTGGTGACCGAAGAGTCGGGGTGGGGGAGGGGGGTTGCCAAGCCCAGGGCTCTGAGTGTCCAGCAGTCTCCTTCCAGGCTCACACCTTTAGCAAGACAGAGGAGAACCTTCAGAGCGCACAGCGAGGGCAAGCGGGTGGCCACCCCTCCCCCACGTGGCCTGGTGGAAAAAATGTCTCCGTCCCTGGAAAGAACAGCACCTTGGGAGGTGAGACAAACAGGAAGGGAGGAAAGCAGGCCAGGCCTACGATTGGTCACAATTCACTTAGGAAAATTGGCTCTGCATCACAAATGCAGAACAATCAGGCAGCCCGGGACAGGCAGTGGGGGGCTTGTGCTCTGAGCTCACTACTCCTGGGAAAGTGGAATTAAGCACAGGGTGGCGGGTGTTTTTTTTTTTTTTGTATGCATGAGCACGTGAGGCCCCTCCCACCAGCCATGTGCTTGTCGAGGCAGTGGGGTCCTGGGAGGCACTTGTCCCTCAGGGTCGAAAGGCTGAGCAAGACCCTAAGGAATCCCCCTGCGGGCAGAAAGAGCAGGGGACGCACGCCTGTTCTTTCTCTGTGTGCAACAGGCGACTCTGGACCAAAGATACTGACTGGCTTTAGTGGGGTGGGGAGAGAGTCTGCACAAATACACCCCCAACCTAATGGTAAACAAGAAGCCAGCCAATGGGGTGTGAACCCATCTCTTCGAGCATCCTCTATGTGACCCAGAGAGAGAAAGCATCCTCAAGGGTGTCCCTTTTTTTGTTGTTGTGTTGTTGCTGAGGAAGACTGGGAGGGGGTACTTTGAAGATCACTTGATGGTCCTGAGAGCGGCCTGCCTCTTGGTAAGGGTGCATTGCCCTGTTGAAGTCTTCCCAAATGCCTACACAAGCAGTGAGCCATCGAGTACTTGGGAACAGATGAGTTATCAAATTCTTGCAACAACCCTATGTTCCCTTGCCCTGGTTTTATAGAGAAGAAATTGAGGCCCAGGGAGGTCGATCAAGTTGCTCAAGATCACACAGCAGAGCTAAGGTTTGAACCCAAGAAACAACATCCAGACTGGCTGGGCCTGTCCCAGCCGTGGCACAGCAGAAGCCCAGGTGTGGCAATAGCCAAAGAGGAAGTACTTGGGGTTCCTGAGGGCTACCCTGCCTGGCCCTGCTTGGAGGATACTTCCTAGCCCCTAGATACACCTCATGATCACCCTCAACACTTCCTAGTGTAACAGTAGTAGATCAATTTTAATGGTATCGCAAGGGCACAAAGAATTCACAAGTGAGGGATTTATTACATAGTCAGAGTCAAGGAACTCAGTATGAATTTGTTCCTAAAAGCTCATCCCCTATTTGGAAAAATACCCAGTATAATTGCACACCAATGGTCATCACAGCTCTACTCACAATAGCAAGGAAATGGAATCGGCACAGATGCCCATCAATCTGGATGAACGGCTAATGAAAATGTGGTACATACACATGTCATTCAGTCATTCATCCGCAGAGAAAAATGAGCTTTGCAGGGAAATGGGTGGATGTGGAAATTATTGTAAGTGTGGTAGCCTGCGCTCAGAAAAACAAAAACATGTGAATCTGTGCCTCTCTCTCTCTCTGTGTGTGTCTCTCTCTCTCTCTCATTTCAACAACTTATTAACTGGAAGGGCATGTGCACAAAGCAGAATGGACATTATTTGTCACAGAGTCCTTACTCCCAAGTATCCACAGCCCAGCTGTGCGGTGACACGGCCAGCTTAAGAAGGGGCCCAGGTAACACTAGTGTTGAAACAGTGAGCTTCTGCTACTGTTTCTCCAGGATTAAAAAATATCCCATAGCACTCTGAGGTGAGGAGGCACATAGTGTGGGAATCACAGTACTAAGTCAGGGGTCCTAGTCTCCCCACTTTACAGAGGTCTTTTAGCCCAGTGGGGTGACCAGGCATCAAGCACAGGCTAGACTCACTCTAGGTGAGTGAGAGTGACCTTGAACCCCAGGCCCTGCTGAGATCCCAACTCCCAGGTGCTGGGATCAAAGGTGTACACCATCAAAGCCTGGCTCTTAACTTCCCATCCCTATGGAATGAGAGCTCCACGGGAGTGACTTAAACACCGCTACCCCCTGGCCAATGTTAGCTCGCACCTTCTCCCCTGGGTGGTTTTGACAGACAGCTACTGCTCACAGATACCAATGGCTGGCCATTTCCAGCCATGACACTAACCTTGAAGGTCACACAGCCTCCCCGCCTCTGGGGGTCTCATTCTCTCTTTTGTCTCTAAGGCCAGGTTTGAGTCCAGCCACCACCCTGCTCTCCTGTTAGTGACAAGTTCCCTTTTCTCCTGGACACGGACACAAAGGCAGGCGTGGAGTCAGTGGGCCTCACAGGCACTGTCTGTCGGAGCTCCAAGGCTCCTTAGCCGGTTACTGGCTGGTCTGGAGGGCAGGGGTTGTATCGCATTCCTCCAAGGGACCCCGGTGTTTGTGTCTGGGTGCTGAAGAAGAGCAGCGGGGATGGCAAGACCAGTCAGCTCACAGGCTTCTCCCCTGGGGCTGGGCTATGCCAGCAGTGGGCACTGAAGATACCAGCTCACAGTGGGCAGGAGGCAGAGGACTCAAAAGGAACCAGATTCCCAGATGTCCCAGCCCAAGCACTGGCTCCCTCTCTTCCTTCCTTTAAAAGGGTCTCACTCTGTAGACCAGGCTGCCCTCAATCTGTGATCCTCCAGCCCCAGCCTCCTGAGCGCTTGAATTATAGGCGCAGACCACCAACCCCAGTTGCTCAAGCACTGGTCACTGCTTTTCTTCCCCTGAGGTGACCTTGACCCCAGGTTCCAGCCGGGCAAGAGTGGGCAGGTTATCCAGAGTCCCTGGCCTGGTTCAAATCCTCAGCCTGAACCAGAAGATCTGGAGACGGTGCTTTGCCTCTGGGGCCTCTCAGTTCAGGGTGAGACCATGAAGGTGGCCCGAAGAACCAGAAGGAAGTGTGTCTTGAGAACAGTGGTGTTGCAGTCCCTGAGGCAGGTGGGAGGAGCTGGAGACCTGCACTTCAGGATCCTTGGTCCACTATCACCTGGACCCCTTAAAGAAAAAAAAGATGGTCTGGAGGTGTGTGTATGTGTGTGTGTGTGTGTGTGTGTGTGTGTGATCAACTCAGGAATGGGGAGTAATCAATGCCACCCAGTAAATCAACCCAGATGACAGTTTGGTTTCTGACTCAGGGTCAATGGTCAGAAAGATGCCCAGCTGGGGTAGGATGCAGGTAGATGCCCGGTGTCCCACGCTTGGGATACAAGCACTCATCATTCTTTTACAGCCCAGACTGCTCCCAGCGTGGAGGTCCCAGTACAAAGCTGCAGCTTGGTGGGGAGGGTCGACACTTCCATCACTGGCTTTTGTCCCTGGGGATGAGGGACCCTGGCACAGTTCTAGGCATCTATTTAAAGCAGAACAGGGCCATGTGTCCAGGGCTGGCTGGCACAGGACAGGGAGGGAAGGAGGGGGTAAGGGAGGTACGGGCAGAGCTGCCCCACGCTGGGCACATTTATCATCAGTAATCACCGTGGTTCTTCAGCGCCTGGACACCGGCTAATTCTCCCAGCCCCGACTCCCACTGCATGGAAAATCTCTCCCATTCACTGCCTGCCGCTGTGCTCGGTGGGGAGCGGGCAGAGCTGGAGGAGACAAGCCAACTTATTATTATGTTTTAAAAACACAAGCCCCACAGGCTAGACCCCTCCCTGGACACAAAGCTCTGCCTCCATCTGCCCTGGCTCCTATGGGGTTCAGGCCATGGTCCCCCTCAGAGGCTGTCACAATGCCCGTTACTGATGACAAATGGGGCCTGGCCAGCTTGGAGGATACCGAGTTGCTCCTGACAAAGAAGACCTCTCACCCAGCCCTGTTCCCACACCCTCCACAGGCCCATCCATGCCCATGATGTCACTTCCTGTGATGGCCACAGGAAGTGGCCTTTTCAAAGATGTTCCTGTGAGGTCCCCTCCAAGGCCCAGGCATTGGCCTAGAGTAGGGATGCTACTTACAGAGTGGGGATGGACACACAGTCCTTGGTCACTGGGCTACCCAATTCACAGAGGGAGGCACTTGGGGAAGCTATGCTACATGCTCTCCTTCCACACCTGAACCCTGGGCTCCCTGGGTTAACTTTAGTGCCAGGCTTGGAGGGGTCAGAACTCTGAGGACACATCGTCTCCTTCCTACTCTCCTGGGAAAGGGGACCAGGGCCTCTCAGCCACCAATTCCAGAAAATGACCTCTGATCCCACTCAGGGCATTTACAGACCTTTGTGGTGCCACACACATGCCACAAGCCTGCGTCGGCACTCCATTTACAGAGCCAGAAACCAAGACTTAACAAAAGCCAAAGGCTACACCCAGGATCTCAGCTACTCAGAAACACAGCATCCTCTCTCTCCATTCAACCACACCGATGATCTTGTGGACCAGTGGGAGGGGCTTCATCGTCTCCTTGGAGGTGAGGACCAGGCCTCAGCCCCTTAAGCCCAGATTCCACCATATACTCAGCTGCTCAAGCAGACGGGGTGGGATGTGTTATCCTGGTACCGTGGCTGGGTGGGATGAGCTCTCCTGGTGGTCTTAAGAGTCCTCAGCTATCCTTCCGACAGCTTCTCTAGTCCTGTTTTAGACGCCCACTCACTCTCCTTGTTCTGGGGCCATCCAGAGCTCCTGGGACACCCTTCCCTAGCCTCTACCTCAGGGTCACCTTGAAAAGCAACCCTTCCCCAGGTCCATGGCTCTTGAGGAGACATCTCAGCTCCAATGCTGTGACCTCAAGGCCTCCCTGAGACAAATCTCCCACACTACACATT